TAACAGTTGGATGACCAACTTGAACGAAACTTTTGGAAAAGTTGAAACTGTAAAAGTTTCTTTTTCCCGCACCAATGCCATTTGGCTCTCTTTCTCGCACTTTCATTTTCTTCCTTTTCTCGATGCAATTTACTTACGTTAGTTGTTCGACAGTATTATTCGATAACAGATCAAATTAAAGACGATCATATCGATTGCCCTTCATAATCTTTCAATCAATGAGGAAATAATTGTACGCTTTTAACTTTAAAATATAAGGAAATTATCAAACGACGAAAGGTGAATTTAATAATGATGTTTTATGAAGTTTCATTAAGAATGCATCTTGAAACAATATTTATCAACAGAAGCATCGAGAACCAGTAGCAACTGAAGAGCCCTAATAAACGTACACTAGTTCGAATTTTTTAGGCGTGCCGTATAACTCCCACAGTTTGGAGCTTGTTCGACTGCAGAGATTTGCCTAGGAGGATAAAAAGTTATGCAGGCGCTTCAGAATAACGAAATATGCCTCGCCGGGTCGATCGGCAGTTTCACCCCTTTTCGACTTGTAATTTTAATGACGACGCTGGCCTCGATACGTCAATGCGCACACATACACGTACGTAGCCATATCGACGGCCGAGCGTGGATTCGGGGTGAAAACAGGTCGACATGTTTCACCTCCTACTGGCGCGTAATTTTTTTTTTTTTGTTAGTTCGAGAAGGGGCGACAACTTTTGTCTCGCCTACGTCCTGGACCAAAGTGGCACTGTTGAAAGCGAGCGCGTTTACGCGACAAGTCCACGATCTTTTGATTATTATGCTTCAACTACCAAAGTCCCCCGTTCCGGATTGATGGTGCAGTGCTTGAAAAGTCGAATCGTATGCGGCACTGTCGATATTCAAAGTACTCACGTGCAGTAGTCGAATATTTATTCGTTTTAATGTTTACTTGTGATACTTTCTTGTACGATGCGAATACGAATTTTCCTTCGAATAACTTATCAGCTCTGACCATCGTACGACGACTTTACTCGGAACTTACATCAACGTCATTCATGAAGCTCTGCTGCTTGCATCCTCTTGCACGAGCTTATTTAATTTCCATTTTTTTTTCTATTTGGTAGAGTCATAAACTTCGAAGAACTAATTAGTTTCTTGCCGAAGCGATTATACGCCATAAAACTTTAGGAGTCCCGCCCCCGCGAGATTAAAACTCGTTATACTTTTGTGCCCTCGTAGAAGCTGGCGATTTTGCTATTGTTATCACGACACGCCATGAATATAAACGAAATTTCCGGCTTCTTTGATACCCGAGCTTGCGGAAAAGAAATTTCTCTGGTTAACCAAGATGAAGCGAGGTGTTTAATTATTAGTTCAAATTTTTGACACGCTTTGGAAACGTTAAACTTCAAGCTCCGTATTTATGGCTGCACGGTTTTATGTTTGCTCGCGCGCGAAAATTAAAGCACTTGCTAACGAGCAGATGATCGGAATTCCGTACGTTATTTTGTAAAATATATAAATATAATCGGATATAATCTGGAACTTTTCCACCTCCATGAATTTCAAAACATATTTAACAAAGCAAAAATGTAAAATTAAAAAGCTCTTTTTCACGAACGTCTTTTTATGAAAAGGCGTTATAATTACTGTTGAATATTGATGAAATTTTTTTCTGGCGGAAATAACCGGAGAGAGCTAATTAGCATCAATATTTTTTAAAAATATTCTACAGTGAGCAGGTGGTTAATAGGCAATGGATTGTCAACGCTTAGCTCTCCACCCCGTCGACGGGAAGTAGGTCAAGAACGCGCGACAAGTTTTGATTCGCAGACATGACGGGAGTTGAACAGGAAGACCGAGGGAAAAAAATACGGAAGCTTCGGTAGAAAGAGAAAACAGCAAGTGCACACGCGAGAGATGCAAATCCCTGGAGCGAGATTTACGATTGGTTGGCGAGAGCTACCACGTCCCGTCGCGCGTTCCCCTAAACGGCGCCGATCCCTTTGGCTTTTATAGAGTAACTTTGGAAAATCTTTTGCAAAGTGTGTACCGATTTACGATGGCAGTAAATGATAAGGAGTCATAACCTGAGAATTATAACTGTTCCGATGGATTTTTGAGTTTAATCGCCATCGTCGATGTCGATTTTACATACCAGGCGATCGCGTGTTTTGCCAGCGGTATAGCCCAGCGATTTACGATCCGTCTCATTTGTTAGAGACGAGATTCTTCGTGAACACTATGGCGCTTGAGTTATTATGCAAGGCCTCTTCGTTGGGCTTTATATTCAATAAATTTCGACGGATACTTCCATACTGTAATAACGTGTTTTGTTCCTTTGTATGAGCGCATGCACTCGCTTGCACATAATGTATGAGTTTACGGCCTAGCTATCATTCATTTTCGGATTATCTTGTAATTACATTATTTCTGTTTTATAAAACTCGGTGCAACGAACTATCATTAAATTTCTAATAAACTTTTTAATAGTTTATGGCGTAATTTTCAATTAACGTAGAATATACATGCACATGGAAAACAAAGTTTGCAGTTCAAAATTTGCTCGAAATTTTCTGAATACTCATTTAGAAAGTCACTCAAACGGCTATCTTAAATCTAGCGGTACAAAAAAATATGTAGAAAAGAAATAAATTTAGTATTGAATTGTATACTATTCAATTGTTATCCAGGTCAAAGAGAGAAAAACAACAAGAGTCCGGAACGGAACGAGCAAAAAGAGGAACCTATCGTTCATTAGTAGTTTCCGAAGCTTCTTAATTCGAGCAATGTATACGAGCAACAACTTGTCAGTTACGACGGCAACTGAAAAATCGTCGTCACCAGCGAGGTCGAACGAAAGAGTAGTGTACACGATGACTTGAAGAAAAAGCTAGGATACAAGTCCTACTCGATGCTCGACTGCACTAATTCGCACCGGAACGCGAAATAGGTATCGTGGCGTGTGTATCAATGTAATGTGACACTAAAGAATTCCTTCGCATTAAAAGCTATTGAACATTATTTTAATTCGCTAAATTGACGAGGCTTTACAATTTTACGACTGCAGTTTCTTCAACTAAATTTAAATTAAGCCGTAGTTATAAGCTTGTGAAGACGGAAGAAAAAAAGGAAGTGAAAAATTAATACTTCAACGGCTCTGCTTTCAACATGTTCTGAAAGCAATTGAAAGGCAACTGTTGAAAATAAATTTAAAAGAGTGCGTGCGACCATTTGAAAGCAAATAATCATTCGTATTCTCTCGCCTGACCAAATTAAAAGTATACTACTTTGAAACTATCCGATCTTAGTAATAAAAGTGTTTGCAATAACGTGACTTTCAATGAGCACTTTGAAGTATCAATCACTTTGATTTCATCTTTGAGAAATAGAAGTAAATATTTGTAGAAAAGGTTATCTTCAATACGAGTAGTCGCAAAGAGGGCCTTCGTTCAACGGCTCGATGAACTTTTTTCTTTCCAAAAGTAAAAAAAAAAATCTGAAATCCGTAGAAGAAACAGAAGAGATCTGAAATCTCGTACTTGACAACTGAATAAAAGCGCCGCGTGTCTGTCGTTTGTCGCACTCAATCGCGGCTACGAGCCTCAGCCACAGATATACGATGCGACGCGGCCACGTTTCGAAGAGAAAATTAAAAGGCCGGGGAGATCAAAGACCGGAGTAAGCGTCGCCGCAAGACCGAATCGCAGAATTTCAGAGTATGAACGAATCAGGACCAGGCGTAACTACTGGATCAAGCAGAAATATGTGGCTGCGGAAATGAAATCACCGGCGATATTCTTTTCATTTCTGTTTCTGCGCTTTCCCTATTTCCACAAAATCAATTCCGACCCTCCAATGCTCATGCGGTTCGATTTGAAATGAACGAGCTGTTGGCGAAGTTAGAAAACGTTTCTTTCCCTACTAAAATGTGTCTATTGAAGTAACAAAATATTAACGTTATTATTATCGTCGTTAGTATTATCGTCATCGCCAGTTGTAGATTTGACAAAATAACGAAAACTTTTTGAGGGTGTATAAAGTACTGTTCTGAAAATTCCAATACCTACTATGTTTTAACTAGTAGGTATTGGACTAGTAGGACTTAGAACATGACAGCCACAGTAGAGTCTATTATATGTACAGAATATACGTTCGTATACGAAATAACATATTTCTAAATTTAAAGTCTAAAGAAGTAAGGATGGAATTTCGATGTGCAATAACGAGAATAGAGTGCTGATTTTGTATGAAATTTTCTATACCCCGAAAGAATGTAAACTACATACTTTCGCCATCAGTAGTTTTAATCTTTACAAAAGTTTCTACCACGGAAGTAACGATATCCTATCAAAACTATTATTCGAACATTATAGTTTTATTTAATAAATAGTCTGAAGGAACTAACTGAACTATACGTCATTACTGGAAACAAAGGTTTTACAGATCAAAATTATTGAGTTTTTATAATTTTTAATAACATTTGGTCTATATAAAACGAGAATCATTTTATGAGCTATTACAAAATCCTTTTATATGAAATCGTTATACCTTACAACGTCACTCGCTCAGGTTTTTAATTTACGCGTACAACGGTGGTACAGTGCTATGTCATTATATTCATACTGTTAAGTAATGAAAGTTCCAAGGCTTTATTTTATTTCTGAACCCAAAATCCGCTTTGTCGTGGTTGTTTTACAGTCTGGAAAAGTAAATTTTCCAACTTTGCGAATTTCCCTTGAACGATCATGTGACAATTAAGCTACCCTAATGCATTTAAAATAAGTATTGGCCTAAATAAACCAAAGGCCGATCCGATCACTGTTTTCATTAAAGTAAACCCTATAACGCCATTTTCAAAAATTCTGTATGGACGAGGTGGATGAGAATTTGAAAGTGATAATACGAAGGCTCATTTTGACATATGCCCAGTTATTGGTTCAACTGCCATACGATGAAAAATTCGTTTATAGAACACAAAAATAAGGAAATAATAAAAGATAAGTTGCACTCACTTTGATAGCAGTATAAGCCGTGCTCTCAGCCATGGTAGACCTTTTCTGCCTCTTCTCATCATTGAGAATGTGCAAGCCCCGGCGATGTCTCGGCGATTCCTCCTGCGACGAAAAGAAAAGAGAAACAATTGAGTTCTAGCGTCGCTATATAGTGGAGTGGCTTGCGAGTACCCACACAAGAGGTAAAAGCCTCTATTTTCCCTCTGTGTCTCATTGAAAGTCCGAGAGGAGAGTGGCTCTCGAGTGGACTCGATAGCGCGCGGGTGCGTGTGTGTACGTGTCCGCGCGGAATTCGCATGGTAGGTGAGAAAACCAAAGAGAGAGAGAGATAGAGAGAGAGAGAGAGAGAGAGAGAGAGAGAGAGAGAGAGAGTGAGAGAGAGAGCGAGAGAGAGAGTGAGAGAGAGAGAGAGAGAGAGAGAGAGCGAGAGAGAGAGAGCGAGAGAGAGAGAGCGAGAGAGAGAGCGAGTGAGAGAGAGAGAGCGTGAGAGAGAGAGCGAGAGAGCGTGAGAGGAGGGGGAGGGGGGAGGCGAGAAAGCAGCTTATGACATAACGACGAAAAAGCTCTCCTTGCTCGATTTGGCAAACAAGGCAAGAGCGCACCAAGTATCAGTATCGCGCTTACGTAACTCGCGTGCGCCGCTCGATACTTTGAAAGCCCGAGCATGCAAGCACTACTGGCCTCCTGCCCCCCTCGCCTCATGCCAAGGAAAACGCGCGCACGCTTACACCTGCACTTGATGCTGCCATGCGCGTTTATGCTAATTAGCCGATCTGCCGAGCACTTACCTAGTCCTCGTTCTCGGACAACGCTTACACGTGTACCTAGCCGCAGCACTTCGCTCTAAGCAAGCGGATAATCCCTCCGTTTCTTCTACCCTGCTTACGCGCTCTCAATCTCACTTTTCATATTGCCACATACACTTTTCTTAATCAACTTTGTTACGTGCCTCACGGTCGCTCTCATCAATCTCAATCTCACATTTCGCATTCATAGTTGCGATTGCGGTGCTTCTATCTACAAATACACACGCGCGCATTTTGCTAATAAATGCCGAGAGTAAATGAAAGCCCGAAGCTGTAGATCAAATAATTATAATCCGTCAAAGCACAACATTTATTCAGCGGAGGCTAATATTTGCAGCGGTAAACGCATAATGACCATTAATTTTCCATTGTTCTGAGAAAGCAGAGAAAGCAAAGATTGCTTTTAAATTCAATTTCAAGTCTATACCGTATTCAATTGCATCAGTACAATGGCTCTCATCTATCAGATATACCATTTATAATAAAAAAAAGGGGAGTGGGAGAAGCTTGCAATTACTTAATATTTCTAAATAACATATTTCTTACTTTCCACTCTTACGTCATTGACATCATCGAGTTTTTTTTTTTTTTTTTTAAAAAAGTGCAGTCGTTTTTTATTCTTCACTCTCGCGACGGTTGAAAACTCATTCATGTAAATCACTTCGATTCTCGCGTACGCGAGTTTACTCTGGAGTGTCGTGCACTTCTCTGATAAAAAGAAACGCGAAGAACGAATAAGAAATGCGTCCCTTTCACACGACTGGCGCTAATCCAGTTTCATCCTCAAAAACTCATTTCCTAGCTTTTCTCTGCAAGCGAAAAAAGGAAGGCAAACTCTCGAACGCATTTTTGCATCTCTGCCCTCCAGTAGATTAAGCTGATCGCGATGCGTCCGCGTTGACCTTGAGATACTCGCAAACGAAGCAACCTTGAACGCCAGTGTACGGATAATCGTTTAGCCCTCTTTTGCAATTACTCGATTCGATACTACCTATCGGCTATTAATGTTTCTCGCTGTCTGCGCTACACAGGAAATGTAAGCCGGCTGGACGAAGCACTTGAGAGAGTTGCGGCGGAATGAACAAAGCGGAACAGAGATAGTCGAGGGAAAGACATTTTAAAGAAAAGGTGGGGGGGGGGGGAGAAGGTCACTGCTTTGAAAATTAGAAGGATCCCGCTGAGTATATCGCGCACATAACGGCGTAGCCAGCTTTTTGGCGGCAAGCCAGCGAGTAGCGGCGGCGGCAGAACCGATGCTCGCGCGCTTACGCGCCCTCTTTCTCCTCTTTTTTTCCTTGCTGGCCTTAATGTCCGTGTAACACTGCAGCAATTCCCTCTTGCTCGACGTATCTCCGACGTACTAACTACCGCATATCCCCCCCCTCCTTTGCGACTACGACCACTTATGTATTTTCGCTTGAATGAACTGTTCAGATTGATTTTTTTCGTCCGCTCTCTTTCTCTTTCTCTCTCTCTTTCTGACAACGAATATATTTCAATGTTAGCCGTTATCGTTCTTCATCTCTGGAAAAATGTTATTAAAATATCCATATCAAATTCAATGGCCTCCGTCTTGATGTATTATTTATAAAGCACCTGCCCGTGTGAAAGTTCATGTCATTCGATGTCGATCTGCACTCAATTTCATACCATTATTCAGATTTGTTTTATTTCTTATTCAGAAGACTTTTCTTATGATTTATTTCCTGAATTATATTATTTGTTGCAATTAATTAATGTTACTGAGAGTGTTTTAAAAATCATCTTCACCAATCTCCTTTAATGAACGAGCCAAACGAACACAAACAATACAGCTGCCAGCTTGCCTTATTGCGTATTTTATTTCACTCCATCCCTGGTTTCACGCTTACTGATTCATGCTTACTAACACAAAAGAGAGGGAGAGAGAGATAATACGCGCTCTTTGTGAAGAGACTCGATTGTTTCATTTTGGAACGAATTACTAATCGTTGCACAAGGTGACAGCTCTGCAAACGAACCATAAAACAACCGTTGGCACACTTTGCTTAATTACTATCTACTCAAATTTACAATCTACGAAAATCTAATCTGATATACGTACGAGCAAATCGAAAAGAAAAAGTTAAATTCTTTTTAAATTTATTTTGCTTTCGCTGCTTCATCTTTTTTTTCATCTACATGCGCGCTATTTTAGCACTTCGTCTCGTAAAAGTTTGAAATCTCTTTGTACTACTTTGCTTCGTCGGAAACGTAAAATAATTTTTTCCGGTAAAAGTTCCATAATGTAAACACATTATTATCATTGCTGAAAGTAAATTTAAAGCTACACGTAAAAACATTTTACTACTCATATGTTTCATTTCTTTCTTGTTCGGAACGTCTAAAAGATTAACGAAAATAAAAAAAAATATCAAAACAGTATTATTGCAATGCGATAAAAGACATTCACTTTTTAATGTAATTGTTATAAGGATCATCGTTAAAGATTTTAAGTTAGCTTTGTTGAATAAAAAATGAAAAATATTTATTTTTACAATCGCCGAGTACTCTTTGTTGTCGTAACATCATGGAGTTATTATAATGTAGACATAATTTAATAATACATCAAAGAACCGTTAATATCCCCACAATGATACATATTAATCAATATTTACTTTACTTGAAAACGTTTTATCAATACTCCGTTGTTAATTGAAAAAATTTCGTTTTACCAAACTTTAAAGTGATAATAAATTCGAATTATTTGTCAAAACTACGAATTGATAAAGTATTAATACGATTCATTTTACCATACAAATATAATCATTCTAGGCGCCTGCAAAAGCTCGATTTAGCTTATTCAGGTTCAGCTCGGAACTCCGGACTCATTTGAACTTTTCGAAGAGTTCGAGCGAAATACCTTATGCATGCAACCTAAAAATTATGTTAAACTTTCAAATATATTTGAATATTCGAATTTTCGAGCTAATAAAACAATTAAACGTAGTTTTACTAATTTAATATTAAAATTATTATTGATGATTTTTTGAATTGAGGAATAGCTTGATGGGTTCGAAAATTTGAGATGTCCAAGATTCAAGTCAACTCAGAAGTCCGAGCTTCGAGTTACAAGCTAAGCCTTAACTGGTCTGAAAAGCTCCTTTGAGAGATTTTATAGAGAACTGAATGAAAGATCGAAAAGGAAGCTATCGCTTTTTTCATAAGTATGGTTATGATAATTGCAATAAATTAATTCAGGAATACATGATAATTCATGCAAACGTTTCAGCAGAATATTCTCGTTGTATCAATTTTATAGTACACGTCGCTTCAAAAGTTAAATGTTTTACTTTTTAGCTAATTGTATCATATCGTATTTGAATAAAACCTTAACATTTATTACTATTGCACGAATCAAATTTTGAAAATAGGACGTGTGTGGTCAGTGCACGCACTGCAGAAGTAATAATTTCTTAACTGGTCACGCATACTTTTGTGAGTGCAAAGTAAAACTAAATCACTAAAAAACGGTATAGCTTTTTTTCATGCTTGACACATACGAGAAGACGCGGAGGGCAGCAATTAATTTCTTATTATCCGATGTTGCCATATCTTAGACGTATACGCGCAAGAATTTATGAAGTGAAGTTGAGAATAACCTGTAATATTGATTTTCACGTATGATTTGGCCGATTGACCGAAAACTCGCGTCAAAATGTTAAAGAATCATTTTCATTTATTAATGATAATTAATTATCGATAACAAATTTTAATGGCGGTTCTTTATAATTTTCGATGAAAAGTATTTTATAAAGTTTCGTTTCGATAACTAACAGATCACATTGTTCTGTAAATATTAGCGAATACGCCCATGTTATTTGAGATAAAAATGATACGTAATAAAAATGTTCTACGCGATTGGATTTAGATTGACGTACTGCGTAATTGAGTCTCATTGTTTATAAATATTTGTTATTTCACTTCTCGTACGAGGACCTTGTAAATTGACCAAATTCACATGCGCTAGCAAGGAAAGTACCATTTATTTGGTACAGAAAGTTTTGTAGTGCCTCGGTCTTTCCGTGATAGTAGATGTTTATATTCGTTAAAGTAAATAAGAGAAGAGTGCAAGATTTAGTTTGCATGACATGAGCGTAAAAGCAAAAGCCAGAACAGCTGAGAAAGAGAGCGTTGAGAGCTCCCCACGCGCTCCCCCTTAGAAACGTCTTGGTACCGTTGGTTTATTCTTTTTGATAACACTTCGATTTATTTTCAACTGGAGAAACCCCGAGGCAAACATGACGTAGTATGTTTCACTCGAAAAGACCAAACCTCTCAACCCTTATCAATGAAATAACGCCAAAGGTAAATCTTTAATTACGCGAGCTGTCTTATGTACGTCAATGTAGGAGCTAGAGTAGAGCCAATTTGTGTCTTTTTCTTGGGTCGTAGAGCGACTTTTCCACTACGGTTGCCGAGGCATGTATTTCTGTCAACCACTCGTCATACTCTCGTTTCTCTCTTCATTATTAAAGTCGGACTAAAAGTGGCACACGACTCTTTTGTCGAGCTTAACTATTTAAGCAGTGTCCCCCTCCAATGCGAAACCCAAGCGAGCGTGAGCAGCGGCAGCAGAAGGCTTTCCGCGTTTTCAAATCTTTTGATCGTTTCGTCTTTTTTCTCATTCCAGATCTTGACTCCTTCATTCTTTCTTACTCAGTCGCGTCTAGTTTTCATTCAAGCTTCTATATTCCATCGAGAAATTTATTTTCACTTCCAAATCGATAAACCAGTCGGTTTAAATTTATCTGTGCGTCCCTGAACATAAACGCCTATGTGACGATAAAAAAATTTAATTCAAGCTATTCTCGGTAGAATAAATGGAGATATCGAGATACGTAGACAACTTGACTAGAATAATACTCGCTCGTTTCTACGACACGTTCACAGGATATAGATAATACGGGCTTACAACTTGAAAACCTCTACACTTATGTATTTTATAACCGAACATACGTGTTTTCACAGCGGACGTGTAAAAATCTTATTGGACCTCTCTTTCATAACGATACTTTGTGTTAAATTTGCATTATATAGCATTAAATAATCGAACATGTATAATCATAAATAGAGCTACAACACTAAGAAGTACATAAACTCAATAGAAGACTTTGCTAATGTGATTCCAGATCTAGCTGTATTACGAGCATATTTCAGGTATAGAATTCAAATGAACGAGCCTTAAAAAGAAATAGGTACGCGGAAATGTATTGCTGTACTTACCGGGATATCACTGATGTGAGTTTCTGACTGATACACTTTTGGCAAATCCAAAAAAACGGCCATTCGTGCGTTGTCATAGAGATCGACGTCAACATAAAGATCAAAAAGTGGAGCACCAGCAATTTTTAAAAGTGAAGAGATCAAAGGCGTTATGTCAGAAGGTCCCTCGCTTTTTGGTGGAATGTAGCCACCTAATCCATCTAGTATCCTATAAACTAAAACATAAAGAAAATACGAACTTATTAATACATATTTGGTATTTACAGTTTATAATTATTTATAAAGTTTCCGATGTTTTGATTGTTCTTTAATATATTATGTCTTACATTTCAAGCAGATCATTTTAAACATATAACGCGATGAGTATATAGCCAATTTTAAGCATTCTCTGCAATTAAATAATAGCTCTCTTTACTTATCGTACCCTGGAGTAAAGCTTACATTCTTAATAATTTGCTGGGAAATGCTTTCTGAGCAGTTATTAGAAACATTATATTTAAATAAACTATATTTTGTCAAATATTTTTTGTTTTAGTTTAATAATTAAATTTAAATAAATTTCAAACTTTGCGATTTCAGGTCAAGATTTTTATGATTTCCAATTGTACTGAAACTTATTTTTCCCTTGATAAATGTGATACTCAATAAGATAAGAAACACGATCAAAATAAGGAATTGATCAAACTGAAAAATCAATATTCTGTACAATACTGAGTATCAAATAAATTGAAACTAAAATTCGAAAATTAAACTTAGGATGTTGGCATTGATTTGTTTTGAGAGTCTCGGGAAACTAAATTTCAACTCGAATAGATATTGCGATATAAATAGGATTTGAGTAGGTAGTTTTAGTGCAATAGAATTAGAAGTAAATATACGTTCACGATGACATATAAATGTATTTTTCAATAAATACATGTTATACAATCATTTTTTTATTATAATGCACTCTATAGTACTTTAATTTATACATGCATAGGTAAATTAAATTATAACTATCTTTTTTATCAATACTCTACATCTTTTCCCAATCAGTATAAAATATGTAATTTCAACAATAAAAGAAGCTAATTTTACAAAGTTAATTTGAAAATTTTGATACAAGTCATTTTTATTAAAATTGAATAGCTCTATTATTACTTTATATCCTTGAATATATTGACTCGAAATTTCTTACACGTTTCGGCCCAAGCTTCTACAATTGCTTCCTTTGATCTTTACTCAGATCCAATTTACGTCACGCATCGATACTGCAATATAATTTGAGTGATATTCTCATGCTATGTATGTGGGCACTTCATCATTTTTACTCCACATCCAACCAAGTATTACGAAGTATTTTATATCTGGTTACAAGGTTTATCGCTTTTTTAATTATTTGTTTCAAACTAAAAAATATAACACAAGTAATAATCGATTCTACGATACGTTCTTTGAGTGGCTATCGAAATTAATTACTGCAAGCTTTGATGTTAACGAATCGTAAAAAATAATAAAGCTCGAAACATTGATCCGATGAAACATATATGTACTACATACAGAGATATTATAAAAAAACAACTACACATAATGTTCATTATCGATCATTCGATTTTCTTAAACTCAATAACTCGCAATAAAATAAATAAACAAATAAAAAAGAATTAATAATGGTCGCAACACAGCACCACCGGTAAGCTAAAAAAAATGGAAAAGCGTTTTAGTAGAAAAGAACGCGCACTGCACACAAGAGGGAGTGTAACGGACAAAGTGTGTGCGCGCACCAAATTCTGTGACAACTGACATATTACTGGGAAAAACTGTGCAAGAGCGCAAACCCGTAGCACACAACAGGCCGACAAATCCCATAGTGCTTTCTTTGTCGAAATATATCGACGCGCGATCGTTAGCCAAGTCATCTGCAGGTTACGAGGGCTGCAAAGCTTAGAGATCGCGATAATATTACGCTGCGAGTTTCGCCGAGGCGTCCGCTCGTCGTTGACACGCATGTGGCCATAGAGAGAGAGAGAGAGAGAGAGAGAGAGGGATGGAAGTCGCATCCCGAGGAAATTCGCGCAAGCATCGCAAGCTATGCACTGCACGTTATATCCGATCGATAAGGAATTATAGCAGATTTCTAGACCGTGGCAGTTAATATAGGCTAGCAGCTTCTATTACTGCTGCTCGGATTGATTGCCGCTGACTCTGCAGCACTTCGTGCTTCTGCTCTTTTCTTCGAGCTCTCTGTATACAGAAAGTTGTTTTGCTTTCTTTTCCACGCTGACTATGTTTGTCAAAACGATTACGAGGAAACAAATATTTAATGAAAATTATAAAGATTTTCACTGGAAAAATTACATTGAGCTATCGTAAAACTGGGACACCCCGACCAAAACATGAAAAATTATAATCGTAGATCAATGTTTTTATGATCTTTCATAATTTTTCTAAGATCATCGATGTAGAGTTTATATAATTATTACGATAAAAATTCCCCTCATCTAAAATTAGCAAATTTAATCGATAAAACAAAGCTGATTTTCCTATAATCTAATAGTTAAGGTTACAAATATCGACATGAAATTTCATCATTTTTTTATGATTACAAAGTTTTATTCCTAATAACCTATACTTTGTTTACTTTTAACTAAATTATTTTTAAAACGAAGCACATTTTAATGCATTTGCCTCGGAGCATAGCTCTGTTTTACCATAAGTTAAGTTTTACAGTTACCACCAGTATAAATTACCATAATAAGACTGTAAACTTTATCAAGCATTATACAAAAATTTATAAAAATAAGCAGTATAATTATAGATTTTCGTGACCATCATTAGAGATAAAAAAAATTACCACGCTGAATCGTAATATTTTTTAGACTTTGGGAGAAGGAAGCGGGGGGTAGGAATAAAATTTACACACTGTTTAGTCGTTCCAATTTTATCGCGACAATTACCGTAATTTATTCGCAAAATTCTTCCCGTGTTTAGAGTAAAATCATAATATAAGTGACAACATGGAAAAGAATGCAGTATCCAACAAAGGTTTATCTACAGAGCATCTTTCACGGAACATCAGACACGTTTGCTCTGAGAAACACTAAGGGAATTTATTCCCCTCTCAGAACCGCTACACCCGGGGAATGGGCAAGTTCGCACGCCAGTAGGCGTGGAAGGGCCGGAAGTTCCATTTCCGCGCGCGATGCAATCGGAATTTTGGTGGAGTGAGAGAGAGAGAGAGAGAGAGAGAGAGAGAGAGAGAGAGAGAGAGAGAGAGAGAGAGAAGAGCAACTCCGCGCTTGGCGTCAGTTCAATAAATTTATAATATCGAGAAGTCGAACCTCCATGCGCGCTCTCTGCTAAGAGCTACTTTGAGACTGTACTGATTCTTATCGAGGGTGATTCGATGTTTTTGCTCGCTTTGTTTACCTTTCTATGTATGAGCAGATTTTGTTCGTTGAACGTTGAGTTATTGTTTTCTTTTTCTTTGAGTTTAAACGTTTTGAATGACTTAGTGGACAGTCTTAACTTTCTCCGTACTCTCAATTCAAAAAAATTGTTATTCTCGATTATCCAGGAAAAATTATGAACTACCAAGTTTTAACAATATTGTTAACTTGCATCGTGAGAGCAATTTTTTAATTAAAACTTTCTCTCAGCGCATGGTGAAATTAAATACATTTTCATGGAAATTATAAAATCAGATGAACGCCAATTGATATTGGAAAGTGGACAAATGTGAAATCATACCCATTCTACGTTCGGGTTTTTAGGCGTTGGTGTGCTATATGTGGTACGAACTCATCCTTGATCTTCTTACGCTGGCAATGCCTGAAATAGCGAAAATCATAGCTGGAAGGTAATGGAGCTGGGAGCTATAGGCGAACGGGTGCAAGGAGTAAAAATCAAATAGTAATGCCATTTGCAAAAGTGGATTCCAACTGACCTCGGGAGAACAGCATGTCACTGGCGTCGCGCAGAGCTCTCTCTCTCTCTCTCTCTCTCTCTCTCTCTCTCTCTCTCTCTCTCTCTCTCGCTCACTCGGTATACCATTCGAAACTCGCGCGACAGCAATGTTGTAGGAAGTCTTGCACAATTAACTTCAGCCTTGACACTGCGCATCGCGCGCTCAATTGTTCCCCGGCCGCACGAGCGCCAACTTTTTAGCCGGCGAAAAATTTGCAGGCCTTCAGTGATCGATGTCAGGCTCATTTTCACACCACCTCAATTGCTTCCGCACGCGAGAAAATTTACATTTCCTTCTGCCTGTCCGCCCCTTTTCTTTTGTTTCGACACTTTCAGAAGAAGAGATAAGACGGCAAGAAAGTCTCATTTCGAACGCGATTCCTCGAAAGATATTCGTCTGCACAATTTCTTTTCCTTTTTTGCGCATTTATAACACATTCGCACTCGAAGTTTCCTTGAAAACACTTTAAAAAAAACAATGCTTTTAAATAAATATTAACCTGAATTTTTTTATTCATATTTTTTTATAAAATACGAGTTGCTTAAAACGAAATTTGCTGAGTTTTCAAGTAACTGTACCCGCGCGGAGAAAAAAAAAACTGAAACGGCAACCATTTTGAGAGTTGAAACCACTGTTCTATATACATATAAAGAAAATTGATTTTTAGAGCGAGAACAGTCAATGTAACTGATAAAATCGACTAATTAGGTATTTTCTCAAAAGTAGTAGAATAGCTCTTTTAAATCTATGCTTTTTTCTTCTTTTTGTTTTTATAGTTTATGCTTTTAAAAAATTTCGAAATCAATCAAGCAGCCTGATATACCATAGACTAAACAATAATAACAGTTACACGTTCTTTTTTATCAACACAAGAATGACGTCAACAACAGTTATGTATTGTAAGAATGAAAAACCTGTTAAAAAAAAATGCTTAATTTTTTTTTTTTTAATTTTAACAGAAAGACAATCGCTGTGTCAAAAAGAACGCGTGTCTTTTTAAAACAATAGAACTCGTCAATTTTAAATCAACGTGTTTTTTTTTTTATAAAAGGCTCATGTATTCGGATGATGACACCTTTTTCAATTGAAATTTGTCAAATGTAAAAACTGCGCCATATTGTTGTTTTAATAAGAGAGCACGTATTTCCTTGATCAGTTGTGAGTTAATGCTATTAGATTAAGTCTTACTATGTGATGCAAATAAAAGCACCGTCCAATACTGGTAATACGCGTATTTTGCAACAGAATCATGTTGCGATAGTGAGTTCT